ATGCACTTACAAACTGATTAAAACAATTGATTAGACAGATTGTTGTGAAATTTAAATATATTTCAGCATAATAAAGAATTCATTATTCCTATGGATTACTCCATTATCTTTAAATATAAAATTCCACATTAAGATTGATACATTTTATATGTTATCACTAATTTAAAATAATTAGAAATGTAGTAACCATTAAATGAAATATTTTTCTATCATGCCATATCATGTTATTCTATGAATGATAGTTTGTATATTTGCAGTATAAATTTAAATTTAGCTGTTAACTCTTATCATATTTTCTTGGAGGTGAGTTTATGTTTAAGACTAACGGATTTATCTTTTCTTCATTAATTACTACTTTAAATATTATAAAAGCAGATTTGCTGCAAACTTGAACTTAACATATGAGTTAGCAAAATCTCAATATTATTTCATTTTGATTAGATCAAGGACTATCTAAGCTACCTAATCATTTATATTCTTTTTTTATTTTCTAAGGAAATACACAACTATATCAGGTAGAGGGATTACTGTAAAGTCAGAGTGACATAGTAATAATTTAAAACTCTAAGAATTTCTGTGAAATAATTTATTCTGGGGATTATCAGAGCATTTATTTCCAGTTCCAGATAAGATTTCAAGGACTACAAACTTATAATAGTACTTGGGCATACAAATTTGCTTAGAAATTAAAAAATATGGCTGAGGCAGGTGGATCACGAGGTCAAGAGATCGAGACCATACTGGTCAACATGGTGAAACCCCGTCTCTACTAAAAATACAAAAAAATTAGCTGGGCATGGTGACACATGCCTGTAGCCCCAGCTACTCGGGAGGCTGAGGCAGGAGAATTGCTTGAACCCAGGAGGCGGAGGTTACAGCGAGTGGAGATTGCGCCATTGCGCTCCAGCCTGGGTAACATGAGCGAAACAGTCTCAAAAAAAAAAAAAAAAAAAAAAAAAAAAAAAAGTACATATTTGAGTTTGGATTAATAAAAATTGCTGAAAACTTTACATGAAATGGAAAAGATTTTAGTATTCTTCTTGAAAATATCTCAAAACAATTCCAAAGTATATGAAGTAATGAAAGTAGTCAACCATACTTAGAAAACATGATTCTGGAATTAAATTCTGTGTTCTACAAAATAAGACATTTAAGCCCTGGTGCTCATATGACCCTCAAATTAAAGCAGAAACAAAATTAGAAAGCAATTGTGAAAATGTGAAATTAGTTCAATAATCTGCTATTTATTCTCATAAAATATTAGTCAATGTAAATATTTTATAACTAAATAGACTTCCAAATATTCAGGGTAGTTATCACTTATTAAATCTTTACTAATGATGTGGTCTGTGTGTGTGTATACTAAAATTTATAGGAATATATAGGGCTTGTGTTCAGATGCTGTAGACTGAAATCTAGCAGGCCTGCATGGAAAAAGGACACAGAATGAGGAAGTAAACAGAGAAGTTGTAATTTTAGTTAAGGTTTGCATAACTACTTCCCAAACAGGGAGTCCCTAGATGAAACTTCAGTTTCTTAACTTTAACTCCACATGTATTCACTATGCTGTCTATGTGTTTGTATATGTGTGTATCAGTGTGTGTGCATTTTTTTTGTTTATTTGTTGTTATAACTGATCAAAATCTCCCAGAAGTAGTAATTCAGAGATCAGGAAGTAGATTCATGAAGCTCCTGTTACTGCAGGTACTGATGGATGTTTTTCGACAAACTCATAAAACTTGTGGCTGTGCATGGCAGAGCATTATGTTAAGTACTCAAACATGAGCATATGTTTCTAGATAGTTACATTAAAGAAAGTGTTATGTTGAATGTCTATAACAGCAGTTAACCTCTATATGAGGTAACTATAATTGCATTGCTTACCAGAAAAATACGGATTTTGATTGAATTGAGTCCATCAAGATAAAAATACAAGTTAAAATTAGATAACTATGGAAAAAAGTAACGGGGATCAGTCAGATCAAACACAAGAAAGAAAAAAAAAGACAAACCTTTCAAGAATTAAAATAATATAAAAAAGTATGAAACTTTTTAAGTTTATACTAGTATAAAGTTTTATGTTTATGCTTAGTATAAACTTTTTAAGTTTAATAAGTTAGTGAAAAGAAACCACTAGAGATAAATTTTTAATATGTTAATTAAGGTATTCTCAGTGTAGATAAAACACATAATACACAATGTACAAAATGTAGCTGTATGATCTTTATAAGCTTAATGATGTTTATTTATAGGCAGAAAGCAAACTCCCAAGCCAGGCCACTTTGGATAAGATTCTTTCAAAATAGTTACTCAGAATAGGGTATGTTGTAATTTCTATTTCACACAATAAAAAGCAGAAAACTAACAAAATATACAGGAATTGAACAATCATGTTTATAGAAATCTGAAGGAGTCCAAGTCTTTGAAAACCTATAAAGCACCACCAGTCTCTCTTAGTCTTTTTGTTTTATAATGATATGAACAATATTGAGTTACAAACCATTGTTAATTGGATTTTCTAATACTTTCAGCCAATATTTGTTTAAATTTGCAGTGCTAAGGCCAAACATAACTACATGGGCAAAAATGTTTATTGAAGAAGTATTTCACCGCTTTTGCTTGCAATCTATGCTGATAATTTTCCCATTAACGGTTCATTTCCAATTAAATTGAATCTAGTGAATAGACTTGCCAGATGGAAGTACAATTCAGTAACATGGTGCGATTTCTAAAGAACAATGAGGTTACTTTTTGTTGAAGACTGTGTGATTTGATGACCTTTAAATTTTTGACGGCTTGAGTTCTATCAGTTATGACTATATTTTGTTCATTGAGACAGTTAATTGTTAACTGTGCATGCTTACATTGAAAGAGATTTCATTTTACTCTGGAGCTACAGAAAGGATAATCCTTTTATTATTATGTGAAAAAGATTTTACTTGAGGTTTAAATAACTTTACATAAAATGTAATATATTTTATTGCATTATATATAATATAGAATATTGTTACTTATTTTTCTAAATGTTTTAAAAATGTGACATCTAATTTTGTAATTTCAACTTTCTAAGTTTTGAAATGTTAAGAAAAAAGTTTAAAAAGGCAGAGAAGTCTCAGATTATTTGGTTGACACTTTTTTGCTTGGCATTTGGTTGTCATTTCCCTTTATTCCAATTTTAGAGCAGTTCCGCCACATTTATTTCATTTTCCAAGTCATTAATATCTTCAAGATGCCAGGAGAGTTGTGTTGTAGAACTCTTTCAACCGTTTTCTTTGCATTGATTTAAAAATTAATCTGTTAGTCTTATATTCATTTTTCTTATTTTTAAAGAAGTCATTTATATAGTTTCAAATTTAAGAGGACCTGTCCAGATTTTTAATTTTGTTTTCAAACACAGCTCTTATCAATAACTTATTATTATTATTATTATTATTATTTATTGAAATGGAGTCTCACTCTGTTGCCCAGATGATGCCATCTGGGCTCACTGAAATCCCCACCTCCAAGGTTCAAGTGATTCTCCTGCCTCAGCATCCCCAGTAACTGGAACTACAGGCATGCACCACCATGTCTGGCTAGCTGTGTGTGTGTGTGTGTGTGTGTGTGTGTGTGTGTGTGTGTGTGTGT